ATTTAAGTATTTTTTTTAATAGTAATAAGCTATTATTTAAGAAAACTAATAGTTTATAAAACATTACAAAAATAGAAATATTTTCTCAATTATAACTTTAGTGATATAATGTTCATATTTTAAAATTTTACAAAATTTCTAAATAATTATTTTAATAATAATTAATTATTTATTTTATTTTAAATTTCATTATAAAATGATTTTATAAAATAATATACTATAGAAAACCTATTTTGTAAAACTTTTAGATTAAAATGTTCTAAAAGAGCGGATCTTATTAATATTATATACCCGCATTTTACTTCTATTACAATACCTATTTTGCTTAAAACTAAATCCTCACCTTCAAAATTTCCAAAAACTACTATTACACAAAAAGTATATTTGCAATCATTTTTATCTTTATGGGGATTAGTAGCATCCTGTCGAATTGAATTTAATTCATCATTTTCATCTACTATACTTAAATTTATAGCAAAACTTTTAAAAAATGATAAATTAGTTTCAATATCTGGTAATTCTATATTAAAATTATTATATAATTCTGGAAAATTAATTCTAATTAAATTTTTAATTAAGGATTCTAATTCGACGAATAATGAAAATAATATATCTTTTAAATAAAGATTAAATTTAAAGGTATTTTTTGAATATAATACTTTATGAAAATATTTTTGTTTAATATCGATCATCTTATTAAATTTCTTATTATTCTTAAAAGAATTATATAAATCTTTACTTTTTCTTTTAATATTTTTAAAATCAAGCGAATGATCTTTCATATAATTATGTATAAAATTAGCTGTATGACAATACTTTTCATTCATGGTTGGTAATATATAATTATTATGTCCTTGCATTATCATATAACCTCCATATATCGTATACTATATCTTGAATTTTTAATTGAAAATAAATTCTTAATTATATCTTTAAAATTATTTGTAATATAATTAAGTTCAATTTTAAGTTTTTCAAATTGATTCCTATTATCTGAAAAAAAATTTTTCTTATCAAAAAAGTTTTTTATAATTAAACTTAATATATATAATTC